GAGAGCCAGGCACTCTCGCTCAGTAATTGAATAGTTCCTTTCCAACTGAGAAAGTAGGCGGCTGGCGTACGCTATGACACGGTTTGTGCCGTTCTGCATTTGTGAGAGTATTGCCCCTATGCCATGGCCACTTGCGTCAGTGCGTAGCTCCGAGTGGCTGGGTCAAAATGAGCCAATAGAGGTGGGGATGTGAGCGCAGAAATCAACGACGCGAAGGCATGTCCTTCGTCTTCCCACCGGGAAAAAGCCACATTCTTTTTGAGGAGATCCGTGAGGGGCCGAGCGATTTCCGCGAAGTTGCTGACAAAACGGCGGAAATACGAACAGAGTCCCAAAAAGCTGCGGACTTCTTGCATGGAATGTGGGATTGGAAACTCGCGCTCCGCACGGACTTTATCAGGGTCGGGTCGTATCCCAGCAGCGTCAACAAGATGGCCAAGTAGCTTTAGCTTTATCTGACGGTGCCCAAAAATGCAACGCGTTAAGTTGGAGGCCAGCACAGCAAAAAACGTCAAGAATGGCCGACAGACGTGAAAGATGGCTTTCGAAGGTTGGCGAGAAAACGATGACATCGTCTAGATAGCACAGGCACGTCGACCATTTAAAACCGCGAAGGAGGGAGTCTATCATGCGTTAAAAAGTTGCTGGCACATTGCACAGCCCAAAAGACATGACTTTAAATTGATAAAGCCCGTCGGGTGTTATGAATGCCATCTTTTCGCGGTCATCGACTGAATTTGCCAATATCCAGATCATAGGTCCAGGGAAGAGAAATACTTGGCACCATGAAGGCAGTCAAGCGCATCATCAATTCGAGGACATCCTTCTTGATTATTCGATTGAGATGGCAATAGTCGACGCAGAACCACCAGGTGTTGTCCTTTTTAACAAGCACAACAGGTGATGCCCAAGGACTGGTTGAAGGCTCTACGACGTCTTCGTCGAGCATTTTCTCTACCTCCTTCTGGATTATTTGGCGCTCTGAATTGGCCACACGGTAAGGACACTTATGAAGGAGACTGGCATCGCCAGTGTCAATACGGTGGGCTACGACGCTCGTGCGGCCTAAGGAACGGTCGTAAATATCAAAAATGTCAAGGTAAGAAAATATAACACCACGGAGCGCTTCAACTTAAGACGGCGATAGGTTGTTTGATATCATTTTGTCTAGGAAAGCTCTATTCTGTGCGGCTGCGACAGGTTCGGCTACGGTCTTGATGTCAGGAGTGAGATGAAATTGTACATTGCTCCAGAGTGAAGAGTTCTGCCCCGCCGCAGTGGTTTAGTGGCTAAGGTACTCGGCTGCTGACCCGCAGGGCGCGGGTTCGAATCCCGGCTGCGGCGGCTGCATTTCCGATGGAGGCGGAAATGTTGTAGGCCCGTGTACTCAGATTTGGGTGCACGTTAAAGAACCCCAGGTGGTCTAAATTTCCGGAGCCCTCCACTACGGCGTCTCTCATAATCATATAGTGGTTTTGGGACGTTAAACCCCACATATCAATCAAAAGTGAAGAGTTCTGCTAAAGCAATACCTTGAGGAATGACCTGGGTCGACATGGAGAAGTTGAGGACAGGGAGAAGCGTCTTGTTGTTGCTAATCCTCACTATATTATAAGAAAGTATGATGTTCCAGGAAAGGGTCAGGTCAATGAGTGGAGCTGCCAAGTAGTCGCCATCAGGAACAGGTGGGAACGGCGACATAGAAAGGTACACAGCGGCCTGAGGCGGTAATCGTAGACACTCCACAGACCATCGCCGTGTGCGAGCTGCAGGAGGGGCATCAGAGTAAAAAGGCAACTCTAGCTGTAAAGTGCAGGTTGAACAATCAATAAGGGCTGAATGCGCGGTCAAGAAGTCAATGCCGAGAATCACGTCGTGTGGGCAACAGTCTAGAACAGCGAAGAGGACTGAAGTGTGAAGGCCGGCAACAGTGACGCAGGCAGTGCACATACCAAGAACTGATGTTCGGCTGCCGTCGGCTACCCGCACAGTCGAAGACATGGCAGGGATGATGGAAGACATGAACTCATAATGCATATGTGGGCACCAGTGTCTACCTGTTCAGGCCATTGATAATAACACCAAGTAAATTTCGTCTGGAATTAGTGGTCGGTAGAGGTTTTTCAGTCCGAGTTGTCAATGCAGTGCCACCTCCAGGAGCTGCATCTGTTTCCCGAGAACTGCCCAGAATACACCAGTGACAGGGAGCGACGGCGTTGATAGGAGCGGGGCTGGTGACCCTGAGGCGACGGCGAGCGGCTGGACTGGGTACCCTGGGCAACGACATCGGCGTAGAATGCTTCAAAGCGTTGCGTATAACGGCTAGGTGGCAGGTACTGAAGGTGGTAATCGGAAAAACGAGGTGGCGAATACTGCCCCGATTCTGTCGGTGGTCGTCTAGAAAACGTTGCAGGAAAGGCATTTGTTGCGACAGTGGCGGGAAATGTGGCCAACACGGTGGCAAGAGAAGCATATCGGTCAATCATCTTGTGTGCGCCACTCAGATGGATTTCGATAGTGCGATGAGAGCCGCGGAACCGATGTGGCAGCAGCAACAAGTGGGGCAGCATGGTAGTGAGCATTAGGATTTATGGGCTGCAGTGTGTGGCTGGAGTTTTCGGGAACTAAGACACCCATGTTGGCAAACTCGTCGCACAACAGCCTGAATAAGAGATATTCGGGCCGAGTTGTCAGACACAGGGGGTTGATAAGCGGAAGGAGCCATGGCTTTCAGCTCCTGGCGAACAATTCTTGTGATGTTTGGAGGATTTACGAATAGAAGTGGCGCCACAGGATCTTCGCAGGAAGAAGTCGCAGCGGTGTTCGGGAGTTGGGAAAAACGTTGAGTGATTCTCCTACTTCTAGCTTGTTCGAACCGCCGACATTCACTGACAATTGAGTCAATGGTGGTTAAGTTCTTGCATATCAGAGTGTTAAAGGCATCGTCGGCTATGCCTTTCAACACATTGCCGACCTTGTCTAGTTCGGTCATGTCTTTGTCGGCCTTCCGACACAAGGCGAGCACGTCTTGGATATAGGTGACATACGACTCGGTGGAAGATTGAACCCGTGACGCGAGTTCCTGCCTGGCTGCCCTTTGTTGAGCAACTGACCGGCCGAACAAGTCACGGAGCTTCTGCTTGCACATGTCCCAACTCGTCAGGTCTTCCTCGTGTGTCTCGTACCAGGCGCGTGCAGTACCTCGCAGGTAACAAATGATGTTGGCCAGCATAAGTGTCTCATCCCACCTGTATTGCTTGCTGACGCGCTCGTCTAAGGCGAGCCACTCGTCAATGTCAGTTGTGTTGGTGCTGCAAAATGTATCTGGATTGAGAAGATAGGAAGGGATCACAGGTGACGGAGCAGGCGTAGACTGAACAGACGGTGCACTGCCTTCAGGCATCGTGGCTGGACGAAGCAGACGTCCGCTACGGAGATCCAGAGTCGGAATGTTACCTAGCACCTCCACCAAAAATATGCAACGGGGAGTATTTAATAAGTGAACGCCGGGAGGGCTAACACTGCACACAGTATACAAGCATGCAGGACAAGAGGGCAGTTCAGACAGCCCCACAACAATATCGTCGTCTTCATTCTGTCTGCATCATTTCTGCACCCTTGCCTGGGGTATCTTTCTATACCCGTGACAATATTATCGGATGTGCTTGAAGAGGATCAAAATCACTGTTCCGATGATGACACTCAAGATGAGTCGACAAGACATTGCACCCCCTGAAGGAGGCCGCAGAAGCTGTCGCTGTCGTCGCGAAGTTCTGCATCAGTTCTCGTGACAGCGAGTGTGCACATCATCACCACATAGGGTTGAAGAAGATTGTTGTAGCACTAATTCCGATGGTGACACAGACTAAGTTGATGCAATTTTTCATGAAATAAAGGTTTGTCTGTGCCGAGTACATTTTGCTTTTGCTTTGATGATTCATTCGATAATCTGGAATTCGTTTAACTCGGACATTTTCACCGGCCCCATGAGACCTGAGTTAACGAGCTTTTACTATAGTCAAGCTCAGAATGGAAAAGCGCCTCGTCGATTGTGTGCAGCAAGCACTTTGTTCAAGGCGACTTTTGCTACCTACGATAGGCACCAAGAGCATAGCCAAAAATGTTTTCGGGGAAAAGGGGGGAGGGTTCAACTCTGTATTTCGTGTATGCGCTTGTATGTGCGCATGTATACGCAAGCAAAATTAAATATTTTGGGGAAGAGTGGGTGGAACTACCTAAACACCCGCCTCGGTTTTTGGGTGGTTTACCCTGCCTAAATAAACATGGCAACTCTTCGGTTATGTAACCGTGTTTGAGTGCCTCATCATTACATTAGCTATTTATTGCTCGCAGGCTACAAGCATAGGCAACTTACTACCAGGTGCCGTCCCAAAACTTGCCACGAAGGCTTTTAGACAAGAAGCCGGCGGTACGGCCTCTGTATGACTTGTGTGTAAGCCTCTGTAAGCTCGCCTGTGCAGATCTTCCATTCATGAAGACAAGCGCACCCCAATAAATTGTTGCATCGGGCGACGAGGTCCGGTCAGGCAATGAACACATTCCTCCTCTCTGGCATGCGGGCGACGGCTTGGAGTGTGTGTGTGACGTTATCGAGCAATTTGCCGTGTATTAAGCCAACCTGCGGATTTCGTTTTTCTTAATTGCTATGACAGCCAAGAATTGGTCATCAGGGAACCACTGCGTTGTTTTTGGATGCAGTAGCCACTGAAAAAAGGAAACTACAGTCAGAAGAAATATGCTATGTGCATCACCAGACGCGGAGTTTTTTTGGCTGTGGACTCTTCAAGTTGCATCCTTTTCCTGTTGACGAAGAGAAACGACTTCTATGGCTTGCAAACTTAAACAAGAAAAACTTCGTACCTTCCGCGGGTACACTCGAACGAACGAACCACAACAACTTCGGCACCAATGCTCAACCTCGGCTATGAAAGAAAGGTACGCAGCCTACAGCTATTCTAACAATGACAATATTTCCCTGATAAACAGCACCACACAACATTTTTATCTTTATTGCAGGTCAAAGTACTGCGGCACCGAGAGTCGCTCAAACATGGCTATTAAAAAAGAATATAAAAAGGGGACACGCAGGCCCGTCAGCATTTTTTGATGTAAGAGCTGTATTTAAGTGCACACTTGTAAAAACAAACAAGCAAGTAAGATACGGTCACTCCTTCAGAGTTGAGAAACAATTTAGACAACAGTTGTTTAGCAGTTAGTAAAAATTGCCAGTGCCAGGAAATGAAGACGAACTCCTTCAGAGTTAAGAAAGAATTTAGACAACAGTTAGTGAGCAGTTAGTAAAAATTGCCAGTGCCAGGAAATAAAGAAGAACCAGTACACTTTAACGCACAGCTTCATGCAAGAGCAGTAGCCGATGCGACAATTTGGCGTAAAGAAATCTCATTAGAAAAGTGGATGACTACAGCTCAAGAAAGATATTCACTATGCTCTCAAAGTGTTGTCGCTCATTCTGCAACAAAAATACCTTAAAGGACAGCGCATTCTTCGAGCACAAAGTTGGGGCTTCAAATATACTGCATCAACAGTAGCGGACTCGTTAGCGGCAATGTGTAATAAAACAATTGACCCTCAGCGACTTTAACGTTTTCAGTACGTCTCATAGATTCATTTTATAAAGAACATGCATCACATCAGTCTAAATTCACCACATAAAAACAAACAGAAAATGATATCCCCCAGCCGCACGTTTATCTTCTATGCAAGCGAACTTCCTGCATGCCAGATGGGTTGCCAGACCAGAAAAGGGCCATCCGCTAGCAAGATGGCGGCGCCTACGAAAAAAACCGTCTATAGGACAGCTTATCATAAATTCATAAGTGATACCTGCCGCCGCTGTTCAGTGCACACTCCATAAAAGTTTTCACCTGAGGCAGCACAGAAACTTTATGCAAAGCAGAACTCTTTATGTTTCCCGTTAAGGCACGTACGTGAACAGAAACTAGCTTGCTTTTGCCATGCTGTGTTCTATGTTACGTTACATGTAGACATTGCCTCATGCTGCTTTGCACGAAGAGCGAGCATTCACTGTCATCGATCACAAGGGCGACGTTGTGTGATGAATTTACAGAGCAGGACGACTACAGGGACAGTGATTTTGTCTCTGTTAACAGCCTCGATGACGCATTCAACAATGTGACCTGCATCGTATACCACCTTGCCCTCGATGAGACGCCGCGACATTTTGCAAGCTTTATTTACATACTTGAAGATGCTGGAGAAAGGCTCGCTTTCTGAAATTTCATAACACCCAAACTAATTAGTATCATATGACAGAAAGTGTGGACAACAAGCGAGAACACTCACACATAGTCTCAATTTTTCACCAGCAATGCGGTTGGTGGCTTTGGAGCACATCTCGGTTATGCTGGGGATTTCTGGCCCGGTCATTTGCTCCGGAACTAAAACAAGTTGATAATTGTACTCGAAAACAATCCTTGTAGGCGTTCCTTGATTCTTGTGAGGCTGTTTGTTCGATAATATTCCCCCCTGAAGCATACGATTTGCATACAAAAGCCGCCGTGGCCGCAGCGCGGTTGAGAGCAAAGCACCCCATGACGTCACACGCGAGAGGCTGCTACTCATTATCCCGAGGCAAATTGGGATGGGACCAGGCGAATGTCTCCTGTTTCCAGAAAAAGCACCAATGTAGTTACATGTAGTAGCCTCGTGAAGCAACTAAACATCTCGGTTTCACGTGCGAAAGCTGATATGATTATGAGACAGGCTATAATAAAGAACATAGCTGTGACTTTCATTACACGGATTTTCTAAAAATGCATTTACGAAACTAACTACACATTGATTTCACACTTAGGCCACATCTTGACATGGCCATCACAGCATGGCATAAAGCGAAACAGATCTGCCAAGTATTGAAATGCTCTTTAGTCAAGGCCGAAAATGCTGAGTGCAGTGTACGTGGTTCGCAGAGCCAAGTCCTGGGGTCCAATTCCAAGCACAGCTGCGGTCAGTTCAAGCACCGCAGGCAGGCAGCAGGGCTCATTCCGCTGAAAGGAACAGTAGCGCTCGAGCAGCCGCACTGCACGAGGCTGCAGCGCCGTGCGCCACTCGGATGGCAGGGCACGTGTGTTGGGCCATAAGAAGGGGCTGTCGCTCTCCAGCAAGATCCGCTCCGGTGGCACACTCTGCAGGACTTTTGGTTCCTTCCATAGCTGGCCACCAACGCCCAAGTAGCAGCCGCGCGCTAGGTACGCCGCTGCCTGGTCGCTGCTACCCGCAAAGCAGTGCAGCACAACACGCGCTGGCAGCTGGCTCCGTGCCAGCAAATCCACCATGGCATCAAATGCTGCCCGCTCCCGAAGCACTAGTGGCTTGTTCAGCTCGCACGCCAGCTCCATCTGCATAAATTTGATGCTCTTGACACAATCTGACTCACGCGCCAGGAACGGCAACCAGATCGAAATATGGAGCCCGCTACTTTCAAGTTGAAGGAACGCACTAAAACACACACACAGGACAAGCACGAGTTGACAAGGTCCACATGCTGCTGAATCTTGAATGCAGATTAGCATGACAAAAACGGGGACGAGAATATAAAAGACAAACTACAGCGCTGCTAGAACTCAAAGAACGCACGAAATATATACGCACAAATATACACATTTTTAAAACGTCGCTGCACGTAGTCTGTGAACTCTAACGTTTATATATTACATAGCATAAAGGAAAACATAAAAACAAAAGATAAAGTTATATGCTTCAAATTTTTCACATTAATATTGAAAAGCTTATTCCGTGAGTTATTTTTGTTTCTAGCCGTTTCTAGTTGTCTGGTTTCCTAGAGTCGTTTCAGCTTTTTCCTGCCCCAGTAGTCATTGATGGCTTAGCTCGGTCACAGCATGTCCCACTCGAAGCTTGTGAGCAAACATGAGTGCGTGTTCGTTAGGTGATCTTTATTGATAGAGAAACTGTATCGAGAACTGTATTCATCAAAAAACAGGATCTGTATTCATTGAAACGAAGACTGCAGTGCGTCGTCAATCATTTCGTTCGCTGCATGGGCAATCACTAAGAAAGGTGTGTGTGAGTGATATCATCAGTGAAATATTTTTCTAAACAATGCGAAATTATTACCTTACCACATTTTAAATGAACTGTTACAAGAGCATCGGCCAACGAATGTGGTGAGTGCAACGCAAGCATCAAAATTTGAGGAAAAATGTGGCATAGGAATATTTCGCCCTGAATTCGAGTGACCCTTTTTATTATGACTGCCTGATTTTATTCCAGTTTTTACAGCTGAATTTATGGCCACAATATTAGCTTTATGACAATTAGGTAGTTCTATTACAGTATTTGCAATTATCGCCGTCACTGTATGCATTTAGTTTAGGTAAGAGACAGTAATATTGCGCATGTTAGTATAACATGATAAAGAGTCACAAGAGACAGGAGGGGATAGAAGAGACGGGACAGAGCGCTGAACTACCAACAATTTATTTCTTGCGAAGGTCTTCGCTTTTATACAGTCACCAGTCGCACCAGTCATGCGCCAAACGGAATGATAATGCCGAAGTACACTGATAAAGAAAAGTTGTTCTTTTGCTTGTCGGTATGATGTACTTATGCATTATTATTGTGTTTCGCGCATGACTGGTGCAACTGGTGACTGTATAAAAGCGAATACTTTCGCAAGAAATAAACTGTTGGTAGTTCAGTGCTCTGTTTCGTCTCTTCTATCCCCTCCTGTCGTTTGCGCTGTTAAGCACTCTTCATCATAGTTTAGGTACCAGTGCACAAAAGTTTGTTGGGAAATAAAACGACTGATTTAGCAAAGGCGCCGCTTTTTGCGCCAGTCATTCAAGTTTTGCCGGTCAAAACATATATCCCGATTACTAGATTCTACACACTAATACTGAGAAAAAGTTTATCAGACCCTGTATTAACAGCTTCTTCAGAAGATAAGCACTTCTTATTTGGCTGGTGCAGCGATTTATCAAGGTCGAGAATGATGGAAGCGGCTGTTACCAAATTTCACTGCCACGCTGCCTCCCTCAAATTTTACCTGCATAGAACAAGTCTAGCACTTTCTCCTCTGTGCTCTTCTGTAATGAGGAGGAAACCATTAGTCATTACATTTGAAGCTGTTGCTTGTTCACGTCATTGAATATTCATAGTATCACCTCTTAGAAATCTGGGTTCGAAAGTATCATATCACTTCCATCCAATGTAATTGATTGTACTACACTAAATTCTTTTGCTAAAGCATTGTCAGATTATCTGTAATTTTTTCGGTATCTTGGTCGTCACTCCGCTTTCCTAGTATCGCGACTTCTGCAAACTGATATGTGATTGTGAAACAATAATGTTGTTCTGATGTTTTTTTTTTTTTCTTTTTTTGTTGTTGATGTTGCGTGTGTCACATTGTAGCTCTGTTTTGTTTAGCGGTGCACCTCGGTCCAGATTTCTCCTGCTCTTTCCAGTCATGTCTTGTATATTATTAATAGTTTTTATCAGTGTAGGTCTGGCTTGGTACCAAACAAGTTGTTAAAAGTACCTGCTGTCACTTTGTTGATTGCGTAATTGTATATTTTTTGTTTTTATTTTGTTCCCGCTCATTGTTGCGGTTGTTTTGTGGACGTATTTGCGTATGTTCTCGTATTCTTTTATTTGTTCTGCCCGCTCCTGCCAAAGGCCTTTTTTAAAGGCTGGCAGTAAATCTGAAAATAAAAATAAATAAATAAAATAAAAAAATCGGATATTCTTTCTTTGGCACCTCTACTTTGGGGCTGGGCACCAGTCACGGAACATATTCTTTTTGCTTGGAGGAACTCATCAATCAGTCTAAAAAAATACCTAGCTAAATTCTTCTTCTTTTAAATATTTCATTCCTACTGTCACGTAGTTTATTTACGTATAAACCTACTGGAAGGCCAAGCAACGCCAGAACAGCGAGGAACGTCAACAGGCCGAAAATACAAAACAAGCGCAAGCTCGGGTCGCGCGTGTGTACCAACACTGTGGCTTGCCGTTTCTTGCTGCTTCGTCGTCGTTCACATAGTTCCCTACATTGGCCCCCGGTGAATAGCGTAGCCAACCTGTCGACATAAGGCGTAGTCACTATAGCGGGGTTGTAATACGGCTTCAGGCGACTCACATGCACAATTTGTCGGCCACGACGGCGTAAGTCATGAGACTGTGTCAAAGGCTCAATGTCATAATTGACTGGTGACGTACGGGCGAGAATGCGGTAGGGCCCGTGGTATCGTGCCAGTAATTTCGAGGAAAGGCCAGAAGTACTCGGTGGAATCCAGAGCCAAACGAGAGCACCAGTTGTGAAAGTAGAGAGATGTCGGTCGGTGTCATGCCATAGCTTCTGGTGGCCTTGGTCCTCAGTTGTCAGTGAATGGGCCAATCGTCTGCAATCTTCTGCGTACCTGGCAACATCAGAAATTGCAGTTATAGTGAACTAGAAGTACTCTAGTGGTGCAACCGGCCAGGCTCTGGCGCCAGCCTTTCACACGGATGGCGCGAGGTGGCGCCACTGCTCCATTTCCTAGGAGCTTCGGCTGCGTTGACCGGCCGTCGCTGGCTCCTTCTGAGTTGCAGCTATGGTCAATTCTAACGCGCGTGTTTGCTTCCTGGCTCATGCAAACGTAAAATTGCTAGGTTAGTTATTGCGTGGCTCAGCGGTTTGTATATACATAGTTTGGCCAAGAATATATGTATATATATTCATATTTACCACACGCGCTAATAACATTCGCTACAAAGCGATTGCTCATCACCATCACAAGCTTACGGCGCGCTTCCACTATAGTTTTGGTGCTGGCTTATTACATAGAAGGTCATGGTAAGGACACAGTGCTCAGCATCGAAAATGAAAACAGGAACATCTTTTTATTTATCGTGATGGTTGGAAGAGTACAAAAAAATACAAAATAACAAAATAAATTTCACTAGTTTAACAGCTTTTCAAAACTATTACGAGGATTCGCAAAAAAGAAGACACGTGAGATGGACATGTGCAGAACTTAACATCTACTGAGCTTTAGGTGCTTGGCTGATTCTCGTTTTTTAGCACTATTCTGGTTCACGCTTTTAGTTAGGAAATGCAGACGAGTAGTGATGTAAAAAACGATGACCTCAGCTGCAATGCCTTCAGAATGGTCACAACCAAGCCCATTTTTTTGCTTTGCCTTAACTTCGCTTAAAATGTCGAGTATGCTATCAGCATGCAGCTCCAGCAAACTGAAACACGTTGTGAAGGCTTTTTCTAAATCATGAACAAACTTAAACAACAGGCTAGACGGATAAAGCAGGCCACCTCTGTCTTTCATGTGTGTCAATTGCGCAAGGTGTTTGAGACTTTCAGCAGACTCCTTTTGCATTAGAAGAAGTTTACGGCACTCTTCGCAGCCAGACTTCAGTAGGCATTTTCTAGGTACATATCCTGCTATATAAAATGTTAGCCGGTTGTCACTGGCAGATATAATGCATGACGCATGGTCTGGCGCACTCTGTGGGAGCGAGCTCTGCACGGCAGCTACATTGTCACTGTTTATAAACGTGTCCATTAAGCGCTGTTTACCAGATGGAACATTTTCAGCACCTGAATTTGCGGGTAGAAGGGCATGGAGCACTGCAGGCTCACAGTTTCCCTTTGAAGCTGAGTGAGCAAGATTGTTGAAGCTCAAGCAGTTGATAGTGCTAATAAACTGCTGTGGTGTTGGGTGCGTGTTACATCCAGACGACTGCCTGACAATGCCAAAAACATGCTCAACAGGACCTTGGCTTACTCTAGATGTCATTAGGTACCTGTAGCCTAGTTTCTCAGTGAGATACTGAAGCAAAAAAAGCACACTTGACAGTGTCACTCGCAGCCCAGCTGCTGTTGACTGGCTCAGGAATCCTTTCTGCCCCTTCGTGTGGTCTTCCCATGATGAAAGATACTCCTGAAACGATCGCAGCTTCTCAACACTTGCTGAACTTGGGCGCAGCGCTTCAGCTGGAAATCGTGAAGTCATCATTTGCACAAGGTCATGGATGATCCTGTGAAATGAACAAAAGCAGGATGAATCTGTGTTTGTGAGCAAGAGTCAGACTGTCATATGCAAGGTGAAAGGTGCAATCGCAATAAAACCACAATGTGATGACACTTACTTGAAAAACTTTAGTGTAGCTGTGATGTCACCACAGGTATCTTCAATTCCTGACTTGTACAGCTGCAGACCATGAATCACTTTTTCTCCGAAAAGCTGAAAAGCTAAAGATACTCTCATCTTTTCAAAATTGTTGGGGTTCGTGTGGCTTCCGGTGATTCCATGCATTGCCTGCAATGTGACACTGCAACCATCCAGTTCCAAAGCTTTGCGTACGAATTGTAAAGATACCTGAA